TCTCCACTAGGCCAAGTCTTTCCAAGATGGCAATCTCCACTAGGCCAAGTCTTTCCAAGATGGCAATCTCCTCTAGGCCAAGTCTTTCCAAGATGATAATCTCTACTAGCCCAAGTCTTCAGTAAAACTGATGAAACTCTGGCCAACATAATAAACTCTAGCAGGGGCTCATTCCTGTAATCCTAGCACTCTGGGAGGTGGAGGCAGATGGATTGCTTGAGCTCAGGAATTCAAGACCAGCCTGAGCAAGAGCAAGACCCTGTCTCTACTAAAAATAGAAAAAGTAACATGGCATGATGACAGGACCCTATAGTCCTGGCTACTAGGGAGGCCAAGGCAGGAGGATCACTTAAACCCAGGAGTCTGAGGTTGGTGTGAGCTAGGCTGACACCACAGCACTCTAGCCTGGGCAACAGAGTGAATCTGTCTCAAAAAAACAGCAAGGTGGGGTCTGCAGTCATAGGAGGTGAAATTCAGAATAGAGATCAAGGTTTGAACAGATACAGGAGAGATGGAGGTGCCAGTGGCCCTGAGAAGAGTCCCTGTTCCATGATTTGAGGGACAGGTTGGATCCACAGTACACAAATTGTGGGCTCAGCCACTCCAATATCAAAGCACTATGAAGAACCCCAAAAGACTGCAGAACTAGGAGACAGCCGAGGAGAAGATACTCAACTTACATTATTCTTTTCTTGTTATTATCGTTGTAATTACATTTTTAAATAAGAAATAAATCAGATCGATTTATACTCAGAGTAAAATACAAAGGTAAATATATAAATTCATGAGGGAAAGTGTGGCTCAGGGCTGCTGGATATTTGCCAAGGCAAATGAGGTTACCCCGGAACTCCTGAGGCCATGGTCAACCACTATCAGCCTGCCCCAAAGCAATGCACCTTACCTTGACCCTGAACTTCTGCTTCAGGAAACGTATTCAAGAGAAATGATCCCATAGAAAAAGTGTCCTTCATGCATAACAATGTTACTCATGACAGTAAGAACTGGGAAGAACTCTAACTCCCAACATAAGGAAATGGTTTAGGAAATTATGTGTATCCAACTGATGAACGATTATTCAATAAAACCATTCAATAAGAAGGTCATATAGCAAGTTTTAAAATGTTGGGCTTTAATGTTAAGTAAAAAAAAAACAAAAACAAAAACAAACAGAAAAACCTTGTGATTTAATGATGCAAAGAAGTTGCATTATATCCGCCAAATGCAGCAGATGAGTCGGGATGATGGGATTTTAGTTGATTTGTAAATGTCCCCTTTGGTTATAGTGCTGCTTGTACAACAAATACAAATCAAAAGGGGGAAAAAGTAGTATTAACATAGTTGTAATAATATTCTCCTATTTATCCTATTGCTACCCAAGAACAGTAGAATTTTAACTATCTGTAAAGCAAAGTATTAGGTATGATAAATACTACTCATCCATTTACTATTTTTTTAATTTTTTTCTGTATTCATAATAAAATATTTTTTAAAGGAACTATAATCATAGAGTATAATAAAATGAAGAGTTTTTTTTAAAAGCAAATATATAGACAAGTTTCTTTCATCTCACAAATGGTACCTGGTTCTTAACTAAATAAACACTTATTTGAAACCTTTTATTCACTCTCAGTTTTGTTACTCCACAGTTTGTGCTGACCTTCCTCTTCCATAGTGAAAAACAAAAAGAGTTTACAGATCATCATTGGAGAAGGGGAGAGAGCTGTGAAAATAGGTCAATTTAAAGACATTCACCCAGAGGGGCCTGGCCTCAATATTTCCACTGCAATAGCGTTCGGAGATGTAAACATATTCGCATCTTATCCCCCCCAGTTCAATTCTAACCCAATTGTGCAACCAGCAACCCCTCAAGTTACCCGGGAGTTGACTCGCCTCATAGCCCCGTCTGCAACCCCCACATGTCTGAGGCCACCCCCAGCACTATGGTCAAATAAGAAAGCGGCTCCAATTTAGAGTGCCAGGCACTGTGGCCAGCACACCACATGCATCTAATCATGTGCTGCTTACAAGCAACCTCATCTCACAGGGAGGAAAGCCAAGTTCAGAAACGGCCTGAAGAAGCGAGGGGTAGAGCTGTCGTGTGGACCCAGACAGGCGTCCCCAAGTTCGGCTCACAAACCACTTGTGGTGTTTACCACGTTGCTGTTATAAGCAGTGTTATAATGAATAAGCTTGTAGCTTGTACAAATATTACTCCTCATTTGTGCACGGACATCTGTAGGACATATCCCTAGAAATGGGTTCATTAAATATTTGATTGCTTATTTCATTGCTTTTTTCTGAGCAGACGCTTCTCCTTGAGGGCAGGGCACACCTTTGCCTGGTTCCTCCCCTCTCTAAGCAGAGGTACAGTGAATATTTCACTCCTTCCTTCCTTTGCTCATTGAACGAATATTTATTGAACAGCTATGCTGTATGCCAGGCACTGTGAACAAATTGGTGAACAAACTGGGAACGACGTCCAGTCTCACGAATCTTACATACTAATGTAGGATCCCAAGGCAGTTAACAAATAAGCAACTCTGTGGTGCATTACGAGGTGGTCAGTACCACAGAGAAAAAGAAGGCAAGAAGGATGGGGTGCAGAGTCACCATTTTAAAGTCATCAAGTAAGTAAGCAAACAAAATGAGACGAAATCAGATGAGGATCTTTACATTAGCAGCATATTTGTGAAAATTTTTTAACAATTCAAGTGTGTAATAATCAACAGTCACTGAGCTCTTCTGATCTGGTGCGCATGAAGCAGAGAGAACAGTATCTGGGGAACCAACTTCCACTCATAACGTTCCTTTATGGGAAAATAAGCTTAGCTCCCTGAAACTAACTTACATGTCAATGAAATATGCTGTTCATAAATAGAAAGCCAGACGCCAACTCGCTAACTCAGAGGGTCTCATTTGTTCCTTCCTGATTTAAAACTTTGTACAAAGTTTCATCTGAGATTGTTTTGGTCCTGAAGATCACATAAAAAGAGAGCATCTCCTTAACACATACTTTATTTTGAGAAAAAGAATATTCGGGCTCTAAGGATTCAGCAAAGTGTAAAAACGTAATTCAATGTCAGTTACTACATTTCTCCAAACAAGAATTTGTCAGCAGAAAAGAAACCCTTACACCCTTACATCCTTACATTAAGTGTATACCTTAAAATCAGAGGTAATGTAGATTCCTTACTACGGGTCAACTTCTTTTGAAAATGACATAAGTGTCAATGTTTGTCTGGTGGCATCAGGAGTAAAAGATGGTTTGTCATAATAACAAGTAATCAATTTCTATTTCACTAAAACATACACTTACAGGATATTTACTTAAGGATTCCCACAAGTTTTGTTCGATCGATTCAAATTTGCTTAGGAAAGACTTGCTGCTGTAATTTGAATATAGTTCCAAAAAGATGTGAACTACCACTGAAGACATTATTACAAACTAACACTGAGCAGATGTGGCGTGCCCAGCCCTGGACAGGCACAGTGTCCGGTCCCAGGCTCCGAGTCTGCACCTGTTCACTTCCACACTAAATGCATCTGATGCCTTGTCCCTTAAACCAGAGGATGTGCTGTTCAGTTTTTAAAGCAGTTGCTCAAAACACAAGTAGTAGCTCAAATTCCACTTATTTTTCCTTTAGAACTTCTCTAATTTAGTCCTTTGCTGACAGGATTTGACAGCTTTGATTTATTTCCTCCTGGTTATTAGAGGTCTACTACTTTGGCCCTCAGGGCAGGTTCTGATTCAAAATAATCCTACCTTCCCAAATTCCCTGCAGTGTGGATGTCTGTACCGGCCAGGGGGTACAACAACAACACTGATCTCTCTCTAGACTTCACTGGAACCCTGTGGAAAACCAAGGCAAGCACTCACCGGGTGCCTGAGTCTGCAGAGCCAATTCTTCCACAGCAGGGCTCGGAACTGGCGGCCAGCGCGCCCCATGCCTGCCTTCCCTGTCCCAGCGCAGGAAGCAGCCAGCCTGCAAAGACGGGGCTTATATCTGCGGGGCTCACGCGAAGGCATGTTGCCTATTAGTCAATTCTAACAAAAGTGAGTGATGCAAGAGAGATTACTGGTGGCTGAATATAGCAGGCATCAAATGTCCTCTCTTATTCTGCATCTGCTGAGAAATCTTACCTTTTCACTAGCTGTTGGGTGGAGGGTTCAGGGAGGGTTGGATTACAGAAGCTGCCTTCAGGGACTTGTCCGGGCATTCCCACGGAGCACACCCATCCTCTCCGGAAGGCCACACAGCTGCCACCTGAGCCAGAAGAGATGCCCACGCTCACCATTTACCTTCCTTTCCCCCACATGCTAACTAATGGAATTCTTCCTCCTTTCTCCTGAAATAGCAGCTAACATACTAAAATGCCGAAATGCTCCTCTTGTGGTGGTCCCATGGCAGACAAGCAGGAAGGGGAGGAGATGGAAGCAGCTCTGGTGTCTGGGAGAGGTGGGGACAGGTGTCTGGGCGAGGTGGGGACAGGTGTCTGGGCGAGGTTGGGGACAGGTGTCCGGGTGAGCTGGGGACAAGTGTCCACTCTGCTGCTGCCCCCACACTTCATGCTCCTCCTTCATCCATTCTCCCCAAAAGGCTCTGGGTCTGTGTTCAGAGGGCAGCAGGTGCAGACGTGGTGAGTGGGACTCAGCATGGGGCCTGGGGTTACCTCCCAGTCCTGTTTGATCTTTGCATGGCTGTTGTTTTTAACTGGCATCGTGGATTCAGCCAGGAGGCTGATTGCTCCATTAGCTGGAAGCCAGGCCTCCTCAGGTTCCTGTTGCCCCCAGTTGTGGTCAGAAGGTTGTCAGGCAACCCCGTCTTGTGGTCTTCCATTTCATAAAGCAATTTTCACAAGCCATGAATGTTCTATAAATGACTTTCTCAACAGGAAACTGGAAACACAGGCTTTGGCAAATAAACGGGCTCAATTACTGTCAACTTATTTTGTTAAAGGACCTCAATTTTACTTCATTTGTTACAGAGCTGGCAGTACTAGAGTGAAGGCCATTCCTTGGCAGCAGAGGGCCCAGCACCCATACGCGGATTGCCTGACCCCACACGATGTCCGCCCCTGGCCTTCCCCTCCCCAAAGGCCTCTCCAGGTCTCTGTGTATTGCTACCTTGATTCTCTTTGCAGACAACACTTAGAACATCTCACAGCACAGGTGCGTGTCATGACTTTTAAAAATCTGAATAAGGAAAAGCCCCCAGCTGTGGAGGTTTCCTGGTTTTTGTAGCAGCCGGTTTCTACGCTGATTTTATGTGAAGGGCACAGACATTATTTTATCCCAGGGGTATCCAACTTTTTTTCCTCTGCCGCACTTTGGAAGAAGAGTTGTCTCGGGCTGCACATTAGGTATACAAAACCGAGGAAAGCTGATGGACAAAGACAGGTCCACGCAGAGCTTGTATGATGTCAAACACCACAGGTGGGCAGAGGAAAGTCCCCACAGGCCGCAGGGTGCACAGCCCTGTTGTATCCAGGGCTTCCATGGAGCAACCCAGTTAGTCAGGGTTCTCCGGAAACAGCCGATAGGTGATGGGTTGGTGGATTATAAGGGATTGGCTCACATAGTCATGGAGGTGGTCAAGTCCCCAGGTCTTCAGGGTACGTCAGCAAGTCAGAGACCAAGGAGGGCCCGTGACGTAGCCCCGGCCCAAATCCAGAGACCCAAGAACACAACTCGCAGTGTGCTTTCTGTCCAGAGACCTGCAGGCTGGAGACCAGGAGGAGCTGCTGTTTCCATCAAGTCTGAAGGGAGAAGAAAAAGACAGGTTCCAGTGTCAAGGCCATTAGGCAGGGAGAATCCTCTCACTCAGGGCACAGGCAGCCTTTATCTTCTATTCTGGCCTCCAAGTGACTGCATGAGGCCCCCCACGTGAGGGAGGACAATGTGCTAAACTCAGCCTACCAATTCGAACCTCAGTCTCATCCCAGCCACCCTCAAAGACATACCTAGAATAACGGTTGACCAATCCTCTGGGTATTCTTTGGGCCTGTTGAGCTGACACACAAAATGTGTCTGAGGAGGTGATGAAATCAGAAATGCCAGGAGTTTAGTATTCACATTACAACTGTAACAATTAATAAGGGACTACTGCCCGTGGCAGTTTCTAAGATTCAAGAAAGTAAATTTTAGGCCAGGAGCAGTGATTCACACCTGTAATCCTAGCACTCTGGGAGGCTGAGTGGGGTGGGTTGCCTGAGTTCAGGAGTTCAAGACCAGCCTGAGCAAAAGTGAGACCCTGTCACTACTAAAAATAGAAAAACTAGTTGGGCATTGTGGTGGGTGCCTATAGATCCAGATACTCTGGAAGCTGAGGCAGGAGGATCACTTGAGCCCAAGAGTTTGAGGTTAACTGTGAGTTATGATGCCACAGTACTCTACTCAGGGTGACAGAGAGAGGAAAAAAAAAAAAAAAAGAGAAGGGTGAAGGAACGTTCATGGTTATCCTCAACCACTATAATAGGACTATTGCTATTTAATGTTCATGTTGGCAAATCAAGAAATGGCAGTATGTTTTTTTGCATT